TGGTAGGAATCTATTAATAGAACATCCGGGCGTGCAGTCTGGCCAATCTCATTTATAGATATTAAGAAAACATCCGGGTATTCCGTTTGGCCAATCTCTCAACATCTGTTCGGTACTTCTTCTATGTTAACGTGAGCCGGCATAGCAGGTCTTAAGTCTTAACCTAGACCAGTGGTTCTTAACCTTTTTGGAGGTACCAAACCCCTCCAGCTTCACATGCGCATTCACCGAACCCTTCTTAATAGGAAAAATAAAAATATGATTTTTTTTCCCCTGATTTTTTTGGGACCTCCGCCGAACCCCTGAGACTGACTCACCGAACCCCTGGGGTTCGATCAAACCCAGGTTACGAACCACTGACCTAGACGAAAACGTGTTTACAAATTTATTTTGCCAAAGGTTTTACAAACAAATGCATTGTTAGTGCTATATATATATTTATATATATATATGCAGAAATACATTGATGTGAATCTATGTTTTACGAAGACATTGTCTAAAAATAGAAACGTTTCGTAATGCGATGCGACGTTTTCCGGTATTAGAAACGACAAACACCATTGTGTTGAGCCGATCATACGCACCACGGCACGGGTATTCCCCATCTCAGGGTTGTTAATACACAACATAACAATCTGACCCCCCCCCCCCAACAAAGCTGAATGAGTCATATGCTGTTATGGAAATAAAAATTAAACAACCCCTAACAACAAAGTTTTTCGTACAAAAATGTCAAATCGAGTAATGGGGGGGGCGGCTGAAAATATTAGAAAACATGACTACAAGTAACGTACTTTGTAACAGTCCCAATACGGGCCTCCCCCCCCCCTCCCCTCAAGGCACGCAACCGCACATTTTTTAACGCTCCTTAAATATATTGATATTCTAACGTGCCACCCACTTTCACACCACAGATTTATTTCCCCAACTATTTCGGAAAAAGAAAAAGGAAATATCACGCATCCAACACATTTGCGATAAAAAAAAAAAAAAATCTCATTTATCGCAGTTATCGGGAATTTTATTTCGTGAAATCAGTGGCATCATATTTTCTCCATCTTCAATTTGATAAACAGAAACAACGCATTATTTTGTTTTACTATATGCATAGTATATAGTACATGTATATAGTGCGTTCAAAAAGAAATTTGACGAAACTTTTAACGTGTTAACTGAAAAAACGATTCGACCAAATTTCCGTTTGATCAAATTTCCGTCGACGAAATTTATTTCAAACAAATTCACAGCAACCTTCAGGTGCCTATCGTATCTCGTGTCTTGGTTTCATATTAAAACTACATTTTTCTTCTCTTTTTACTGAGTTCTTTGAACAACACCGGCTCGATTTGCGTTTCTGGTCATTACTGAGGCGACTCTTGCTTCTGTGCATTGGACATGTGTTATTGCCACAACGATGTGCCAAGATCTTTCTTCTGTGCACTGGACATGTGTCATTGCCACAACGATGTGCCAAGCCGAGTTCTGTAACATCTTGTTGACGGTGTTGACAGATAACAGAAGGTCATTCCCAGGGTCGAATTTACATATTTCTGCGCCCTGGGCCAAAAACACAGAATTCCGCGCCCCCACCCGCTCAAAACAAGTTTAAAAAAATCAAAATAAAAATAAAATATTTACTTTTTAAAACACATTCTCTTAAGTCTAAACTACTACACAATTGTATATGGTATTTTGAAAAAAATATATTGAATATTTTAAAATATTTAGTTATTATTTCTCATATATATTATATTACTTACCTTTATAAGGTTTTGAATATTCAATCTGTTTTAATATTGCCTCTAGAATGAAGTCTACGTAGCGAAGGACTGAAAACCAGTAGACAAAGAAAGCGATACCAAAGCTAGTGATAGTTGCAATGGTCAATTTAATTAAACTATTACATTAAACAAAAATACAAATTCAAGTATACAGGGAAAAAACACCTGTATCAACTTACAATACAGCAAATGACAAGGTACAATCCTCAAATATATAAATATTAATTTACACACACACATAAAAGAGTACAATATTGAAATTATATAGCGTCTCGTATATGTGAGGAAATACAGCAACAATCTCTCTCGGCTAGCAAAGCTGCCGGCCTACATAATATATAGTGATTAACTCAGAACGATAAAGTAACGAATTTATTGACATTGCATCAGCAGATAGGATTCTTTACACAAAATAAAACGACATTCGAACGTAAACAAACTTTTCCCAAATCAAGAGAGAGGCGGGTAAAAAAAAAAAAGAAGAGAGAGTGGCAATGCGCTACACATTTAATCGGTGGCGTCAATATCAAACTAATACAAAGGGGAGGCATTTAGTTGTGGCTAAAGCATGGCTTACACTTTTGCCATAACAAATACGCATCTGGGCCGCTGAATCCTTGGTCATGTCTGTAGGTTGGGACTAGAGACCGCCCGAAAGTGATTTTCTGATTTCGGCCGAAGCCGAAAATAGGCTGAAAGTTTAAAATGACTTTCGGCGGAAACCGAAAATAGATCGAATGTTTATAAATGACTTTCGACCGAAACCGAAGCCGAAGCCGAAGCCGAAAATGAATTATTTAGATATTTTGACATTAGTTTCCGCATACAGTCTGCATGCATCGAAAATGATGGCGGAAAGTATCAATAATTACATTCTTTTTATAAATAATGAGATAATCGTGAATATTAATAAATAAACATCTAATATAACATCTTGTTTTTAAAGATCGTTTAGTTTGTTCATAAGGATCGCTTAGTTTGTTGTTAAAAATCGTGCAGTTTTTTGTTAATGATCGCTTTATTTGTTCTTAAAGATCGGTTAGTTTGTTCATAAAGATCTCTTAGTTTGTTGTTAAAAATCGTTTATTTTGTTTTTTTAAGATCGCTAAGTTTGTTTTTTAAGATCGCTTAGTTTTTGTTTAAAGATCTTTTAGTTTGTTATTAAAGATCATTTAGTTTGTTCAAAAATGATCGCTAAGTTTTTTTAAAAGATCGCTTAGTTTGTTTTATTAAAACATCGTTTATTTTGTTAATAAAGATCGCTTAATTTATTCTAAAAGATCATTGATTTTGTTATTAATTATCGCTTAGTTGTTCTTCAAGATTATTCAGTTTGTTCTTAAAGATCATTTAGTTTGTTTTTATAGATCTTTTAGTTTGTTATTAAAAATCGTTTAGTTTGTTCTTAAAGATCGCTTATTTTGTTAGTGAAGATCGTTTAGTTTTTTCATAATGATCGCTTATTTTGGTCTTATAGATAATTGATTTTGTTTCTTGAGATTGATTAGTTTGCTCTTAAAGATCTTTTAGTTTATTCCTAAAGAACATTTAGTTTTCTGTTAAAGATCGCTTAGTTTATTCTTATAAATCGTTTAGTTTACTATTAAAGATAATTTGTTTTGTTCTTAAAGATCATTTAATTCGTTCTTACAAATTGTTTAGTTTGTTCTTTAAGATCGTTTAGTTTCTTATTAAAGATCGCTTAGTTTGTTCTTAAAGATGGCTTAGTTTGTTTTAAAGATCGTTTAGTTTGTTCTTTAAGATCGTTTAGTTTCTTATTAAAGATCGCTTAGTTTGTTCTTAAAGATGGCTTAGTTTGTTTTAAAGATCGTTTAGTTTGTTCTTTAAGATCGTTTAGTTTCTTATTAAAGATCGCTTAGTTTGTTCTTAAAGATGGCTTAGTTTGTTTTAAAGATCGTTTAGTTTGTTCTTTAAGATCGTTTAACTTTTTATTAAAGATCGCTTAGATTGTTCTTAAAGATCACTTAGTATGTTTTAAAGATTGTTTAGTTTGTTCTCAAAGATCGTTTAGTATGTTTTAAAGATTGTTTAGTTTGTTCTCAAAGATCGTTTAGTATGTTTTAAAGATTGTTTAGTTTGTTCTCAAAGATCGTTTAGTATGTTTTAAAGATTGTTTAGTTTGTTCTCAAAGATCGTTTAGTATGTTTTAAAGATTGTTTAGTTTGTTCTCAAAGATCGTTTAGTATGTTTTAAAGATTGTTTAGTTTGTTCTCAAAGATCGCTTTATTTGTTTTTAAATATCGCTTTCGCTGAGTATTAGATGACCGAAAACCTCAGTCACTTTCGGCTGGATGGCCGACAGTCTTAGTCAATTGCGGCCGAAACTGAAAAAAAGAACGAGAGATAACTTTTCTCTTTCGGCCGAAACTTAAATTAAGCCGAAAGTTAACTTTCAGTTTCAGCTGAAACCGAAAATTGGCCGAAGGTGACAAAATGGCCACTTTCGGCGTCGAAACCGAAGACGAAGCCGAAATTCGGCCAGTCTCTAGTTGGAACAATGGGATTTATGATCCTGGTCATACCATATGACCGTAACAATAAGAAATTCAAAAATCACCATCCCGTAGCTGGCAAGCGCTGGGCCTCAATAAGCGTGGGGCCTCAACAAGCGTGAGGCCTCAACAAGCGTGGGGCCTTAACAAGTTCGGGGCCTCAATGAGTTCGGGGCCACAACCAGCGCCGGGCCTTGTGCTGTCGCCCCGTTTTCCACTTCCTAGTACCGGCCCTTTCCTGATACGATCCCGGATATTGACTTTTAGTTGTAAAAAATCTTCCATAGCAATTTATACAGAGTACACATTTTAAGCGTCGATACAAAATGACAGGATATGTAAAATACATCAAGAACTCTCCAAACCATACTCTCACACCAACCCCCCCCCCCAACCCAAAAAAACAAAAAAAACAACAACAAACAAACAAAACAAAACAGCATTGATGATGTCAGAAGAAAAAGTTTGTGACATCTACTCCGTTAAATGTTTTCTTGAAATCCTGCCGCTCCCATCAGATCTGGCTGGGATGATGACGCGATCGTCCGCTTCTCAGAAAGTATGCCCACCTCCGCCCTTTCATTGAATGTCTTAGGCCGATGTCAATTGTATGCTTCTAAGGAATGGGACGCACCAGGGTAAACATGATTGGCACCTACGCCCTTTCTGGACAGACATTTAAACCGGTGCTAGACGGCTGTCCCGTGTCACTTCTTTCACCGGAGTTTAAGGGCTGCCACCTCTACCGAGATTGAACTTTGTAAGTCTCGTTTGAATTATCTCGGTGGATATCGATACATCGATGAAATTAAATTGAAACTAAATTTAAACATGGGTGTATTTGTTGCATATGAATATTTCAAGGGCTTTGTTTTGCCATACGATTATATAAAGAATTCGATAATGTAATCTAAGTAATGTTGAGTTTAATTTTAATAATATTTATATTTAAAACATATTATGAATTGTGCGTCGCTGTTACTTAAGATTGAGGATTTCATATGATAAAAAAAAGATCCCTTTGAGTCCACCACGGCTATGACGCTCGGACGTTTGGGAGGAAAGATGTTTATTTCGTCGTGGACATTCGCTGGAGTAAATACTTCAAGAAAAAAATGTTGGCTAGAGTCTTCCGGACCAATTTCTGACCCATTCTCCGTTGTTCATCTTGCACAATTACTGGTAATACGTGCTTAGTTCCTTCATTTCTTGCATGTGTAATTCATAAATTTCTTGCAACCTCTTCTGAACGTCTTCGAAAACTTCTTTGTCACCGTAGATGCGTCACAGTCGATCCATTTCAATAAATAAAAATATCTTAAGAGAAAAAAAAATTAATTTGGTTTTTGTTGCCTAATTATCTTTACAGAAAACATCGGGGGGTTAGGGGGGTGCATCGGGTATCCAGTCGGAGTAATATTGGAGACTTTGGACAAAAGGAGAAGGATTAATTGTTAATAAATAAATACCTTGTTGACGGCAACTGAGTTAAATGCGGGGAAGAGCTGCTCCTGGGGCCAGATTTTTATCCAATTCTGTTTTCAAAAGTGTAGACCTAATGTGACAAAGACCGATTAATGTTTGAAGACTAATGTTTGACTGATTGACGTTTTACCGACTCCATTTTTTAATACTGATGTTTCACCGACCGATCTTTCACCGATTAAAGTTTGACCGACTAATTTTTGAACAACTAACGTTTGACAGACTAAAGTTTTACAGACTAATTCTGAACCCACTCAAGTTTGAGCAGCTACTGTTTGACCGACCAACGTTTAACCAGCTACTATTTGACCGACAAAAGTTTGACCAACTTCTGTTTGACCGACCAAAGTTGGACCAACTACCGTTTGACCGATCAAAGATTGAACAACTACTGTTTGACCAATCAAAGATTGACTAATTACTATTTGACTGTCCAAAGTTGGACCAACTGCTGTTTGACCGACCAACGTTTGACCAGCTACGATATTAACCGTCCATAGTTTAGCCGAGTAATGTTTTACCGAATAAAGTTTCACCGACTCATTCTCATGTTTGAACGATTTTCTTGATCTGAAATACAGTTGTTCGTTTTCCCTCCAGCAGTTAACAAGAAATCAACAAAGCCATGGCAATGATTGCTCTGATAACAGCAACATTCCTCTTGGTTCTTGAAATCGCCAATGGACAAAGTAAGCATTCAGTAGATTCAGAAGGCCTTGTTACAGGGGTCTTGGCGCTTAGTTTGACTTAATACAGTTTGTTAGTGCTAACTGACCTAACATTTACTAAAACAATTTTGTAAAGACTCAAGCGATTTAAAATAAATTATTATTTTTAATCTGAAAGGAAATAGGAGATATTTCAGCATCAAATTAAAAAAAAACAACACATTTTTCTACACGTTTAATAGCTAGCACTATTATAGCAAGACTAATTCATATTGTATGTTATGTTTTATGCCTTCTGTGTGTCTTTCAGCCTAATGTGTGTCCAATGTCTTTCCGTCAAATGTGTGTCCACTGTCTTTCCGTCCAATGTGTGTCTCTGTCTTTCAGTCCAATGTGTCCACTGTCTTTCAGCCTAATCGTGTCCACTGTCTTACAGTCCAATTTGTGTCCACTGTCTTTCAGCCTAATGTGTGACCACTGTCTTCTAGTCTTATATGTCACCACTGTCTTTAAGCCTTACATCTGACCACTGTCTTTTAGCCTTATATGTGATCCCTGTCTTTCAGCATTATCTGTGACCACTGTCTTTTAGCACTATATGTGACCACTGTCTTTTAGCATTATATCTTCCCACATTTTATGTGCCCTGTGTCTTTCAGCCTGTACTGACCCTATTGTCCAAGCTGGCAGTGGCTACTTTGGCCACCCAATATACTGCCAACTGTTTTACCAATGTGACACCGGACTGAACCGCTTCGAGATGGTCTGTGCCCCGGGCACCGTTTACAATAATGACCTCATGACCTGTGTGACGCCAGACCGAGCAGTGTGCAACAACTGTAAGTTTTAGATCTGTGTGCCGCCAGAAACATTTATGTGCCGCCACTGTAAGAATTAGATATGTTTGACGCCTACTGTAAATATTAGATCTGTGTGCCGCCAGTGTATTAAGAAAGCTTACATCTTATGAAAGAAAGCATCGAGTATTTTAAGAATAACACCATCTAACTTCCACAACAACCCAGCAACCAAAACAACAACCCAGCAACGAAAGCAACAACCCAGCAACCAAAGCAACAACCCAGCAACCAAAGCAACAGCCCAGCAACCAAAGCAACAACCCAGCAACAAGTCCCGAGCCGGAGCGAACCGCCTACAGCAGTGGTTCTCAACCTTTCTAGTGCCGCGACCCCCTAAATACTGTTTCTCGTGTCGTGGCGACCCCAGAGCCACGCAATTATTTTCGTTGCTACTTCATAACTGTAATGATATAATATGTTTTCAGATGGTCTTAGGTGACCCCTGGAAAAGGGTCCCGCGACCCCCCAAAGGGGTCGCGACCCACTGGTTGAGAACCGCTGGTCTACAGCATACTTCTGCCTCTTCCTGTATATTTTTTAGGCCCTAACATTAGAGACCGACAGAATTTCGGCTTCGGCTTCGGTTTTGGCGCCGAAAGTGGCCATTTTATCACTTTCGGCCAAGTTTCGGTTTCGGCCGAAAGACAAAAGTTAACATTCGTTTTTTACGGTTTCGGCCGAAATTGACTTAGACTTTCGGCCATGTGGGTGGCCGAAAGTGACTGAGGTTTTCGGTCATCTAATACTCAGCGAAAGCGATATATACAAACAAACTTAGACGATCTTTCAGAACAAATTAAGCGATCTTTAAGAACAAACTAAACGATCTTTAAAAACAAATAAAGCGATCTTTAAGAACAAATTAAGCGAACTTTGAGCACAAACCAAGCGATATTTGACAACAAACTAAGCGACATTTAAGAACAAACTAAATGATCTTTAAAACAAACTAAGCGATCTTTAAGAACAATCTAAGCGATCTTTAATAACAAACGATTTTAAAGAACGAACTAAATGATCTTTAATAGCAAACTAAATGTTCTTTAGGAATAAACAAAAAGTCTTTAAGAACAAAATAAAAGATCCTATATTATATGTTTACTTATTAATATTCACGATTATCTCATTTTTTTATGAAAAGAATGTAAATATTTATACTTTCCCCCATCATTTTCGATGTATGCAGAATGTATACGGGAACGAATTTCAAAATATTTAACTATTTCATTTTCGGTTTCGACTTTGGCTTCAGTTTCGGCCGAGAGTCATTTTAAAACTTTCGGCCTATTTTCGGTTTCGGCCAAAAGTCATTCTAAACTTTCGGCCTATTTTCGGCTTCGGCCGAAATCAGAAAATCACTTTCGGTCGGTCTCTACCTAACATTGCATACACTATCGGCTTTTCAAATTCCCCAGCCCCGGACATTTTAAGGCAACCATTTCCGCGTTTATCAAAGCCTGTTTTTGGTAGTGTCTTCCTTTTGTTATTCAAGCCGCGACATACATCCTGTCCTTAACCACAAATAATAATCCCGTAGGCGTGCATGTATGGCTGTAGGCTGTGACGCTGTGTTCAATAGGCGTGCAAAATAAACATTCCACAGAGTTTAGCACCAATGGGGATTCATATTAAAAGTGGGTTTCTTGAACGCATGTTTTGTCAAATGACTTTAGTAGATTGGGAAGTTCACGCATTTGCCTTGGTGGGTCATTTCTAGTAGTGTAATAAAAATGTGCACTTGACTTATAGCATTAAATATCTGATATCATATCAACGATCTCGGGGCCCCCCCTCCCCCGATTAAATGAACAGAAATCCTTGAAACATGGGGAAGGGGAACATGCTGTATGTTGTGTCTGATAAATCACGTGACTCATTGTTTGATAAATCATTGACTCATTGGTTGATAAATCACGTGACTCATTGTTTGTTTACCTCACAGGGGCGTGTAACAGTCAGTCTGTTGGTAGCAGGTACCCCGCGCTCTGCTGTGACGAATACTTTGAATGTACAGGGGTGAGTTGAACCAAATATAAACATTGAATGTACAGGGGTGAGTTGAACCAAATATAAACATTGAATGTACAGCGGTGAGTTGAACCAAATATAAACATTGAATGTACAGGGGTGAGTTGAACCAAATATAAACATTGAATGGTCTCGGTATACTCTCTACTCGACAGCTAGTTTTGACCGACTGTCTGTCCGACTGCATGTCTGATCGACTGCTTCATGTCTACCTGACAGACTTTCTGTCTGACTGCACGTCTTTCTGACCTACCGTCTTTCTCACGACACGTCTGTTGGACCACATGTCTATCTGACCTACTGTCTGTCTGACCACATGTCTATCTGACCTACGGTCTGTCTGACCACATATCTATCTAACCTACTGTCTGCCTAAACGCATGTCTATCTGTTATACTGTCTGTATGACCCATAGGTATGATGACCGCAAGTCTTTCTAACTGTATATCTACAGGTCTCTTTCTTCCTAACAAAACCTTTTAACAATCCACTTATATCTCTGTATACATATATTTTTTACTGCAATGTTTGTATATAATCATGGAAGATTTATTATTGTAGTCTAAATTTATAAAAAAATTATCGTTTCAGATGATTGTTTCAAATGATTGTTTCAAATGATTGTTTCAAATGTAATAACACAAATATAAAGTTAATAAATATAAATATAAAGTTAATTTTATAAATAAAATATATTGTATTTTGGTTTAAATTCCTAACATAATCGCTTTCATCTGATCTATATACTCTTAATTCAGACCGGATTTTCCCAAGGGACCTGTCTTAAAGGAACAGTTTTCAACGCATCTACTCGCCAGTGTGTTGTTGGTGCATGCAATGACGATCGCCGGTGTTACAGACCCATAGCTGACGGTAAGTCCTCGAACAATACACAAAGTATGACAAGCAAGCTGAAATAAAGGACGCAACCAAACAATGAAGGTGTCGGCAAGACGCCTTCTTCAACGAACAAACAACGAGGAAAACAAAATATAAAAATAAACAGCTGAAATGTTGTATCCGAGAAGACAGCAAAGGGACACTAAATGGACAGCAAGAGGGTGGCAAGAGGAATGTCGATTGCCCCGATTAAAGTCTATTTAAAAAATGTGATCCTAAATAAATAAATACATGTATTTATCCGAGCACATATAGAATAATTTTTTTTCTGCTTAAATATAATAAATGATTGTTACATTTTTTTTTTAAAAGGGAAAGTACAACGAACAACGCAAATAGTCACCACTAGGTTATCTAATCTTACATACGGCTTTGAAAAGTTCATCCTTTTTAGTTCGTCTCCTCCATTTAATATGAAACAATGTGGAGACGCAGTATTACCATCATTATGAGTGGTACGCTCAAAAAGAAGCAAATGGCATGAGACCAAAATATGAGACCAATCATGGTAAAACCCATCAAATGAAGCCCCTATTTGAATAGCTACTTAAAAAGATATGACTCTGTATTCCAGACCCGAACTACAAGTGCTTTGATGTACCGGACGCTGCTGGCAACCCGTGTGTCTACACTACCAGAATCAACGGTCAAGAAATCAGAAACCGACCGTGTGCCGACGGTACTGCCTTCAACGGCTCAACGTGTCAATGCAGTATCTTTAGTTCGGCCTGTCCCAGCGGTGTCAACCCTATTGCCAACAAGTACTTGGGTGAATATGCTACTAATAGAAGTCGGCGCCCTTCTCCCTCTTGCTGCCTCTATGCCATCTGCCTGTGTTATCCATAATTCATTAGTTGTATAGTTAACCATGCTAAAATTAGTCATGTTTTTAACATTAGTACGCCGACGTGCGTTATGTCATTGTTATCTGTAGTAAATTATCCATGTTCCCATAGTATGCCTACTTGTGTAATGTCATTGTTATCTGTAGTAAATTATCCATGTTTCCATAGTACGCCTACTTGTGTAATGTCATTGTTATCTGTAGTAAATTATCCATGTTCCCATAGTACGCCTACTTGTGTAATGTCATTGTTATCTGTAGTAAATTATCCATGTTCCCATAGTACGCCTACTTGTGTAATGTCATTGTTATCTGTAGTAAATTATCCATGTTTCCATAGTATGCCTACTTGTGTAATGTCATTGTTATGTGTAGTAAATTATCCATGTTCCCATAGTACGCCTACTTGTGTAATGTCATTGTTATGTGTAGTAAATTATCCATGTTCCCATAGTACGCCTACTTGTCATTGTTATCTGTAGTAAATTATCCATGTTCCCATAGTACGCCTACTTGTGTAATGTCATTGTTATCTGTAGTAAATTATCCATGTTTCCATAGTATGCCTACTTGTGTAATGTCATTGTTATCTGTAGTAAATTATCCATGTTCCCATAGTATGCCTACTTGTCATTGTTATCTGTAGTAAATTATCCATGTTCCCATAGTACGCCTACTTGTGTAATGTCATTGTTATCTGTAGTAAATTATCCATGTTTCCATAGTATGCCTACTTGTGTAATGTCATTGTTATGTGTAGTAAATTATCCATGTTTCCATAGTACGCCTACTTGTGTAATGTCATTGTTATGTGTAGTAAATTATCCATGTTTCCATACGATGACAGATAATCTTTGCCGAGTTTCCTTCAATGCCGAGTTCAACACCTTCCCTCTGGGGGCCACCACAGACAAACTAGGCGGGGTCAATAGGCCCCTACTTAGTTACTTCCAAACAGTCGGTGTTAGGGTCATTAACGGAAACGCTGTTTTGAGGTTCGATATTTGAGGATTCGTTACGTCAGACGTAGTCTTAAGTCACTTAGTGGTTAGACAAAATAATTCCCGTGACCTGTTTAAGGACATAATCTTTATATTATGTTTATGACTTATGATTTTATCGTTTGACCCATTTAAAAACCAAGCACACAAAGGAAAAAAAAAACATGGTAGTTTCTAAAAGAAAAAACTATTTCTAAGACACCGACAGTAGTGAGAAAGGGACTCTTACTGATATGTTGTATTATTCACAGAACCAAAAAATGTAAACATAGTTGACAACACTGACAGAGTACCTGTTACTTGCATGTGATCTGATAGAGTACCTGTTACTTGCATGTGATCTGATAGAGTATTTGTTACTTGCATGTGATCTGATAGAGTACCTGTTACTTGCATGTGATCTGATAGAGTACCTGTTCCTCACATGTTGTATCTTTCACAGACCTGACTTCCTGACTGGCGCCATTCCCTACATTTACAATTACTACCTCAATGCCAACCAACTGGGGATGCCTGTGGCCTTCTCCGTGGTCTTCAGATGGGACAACCCAACCGTAAGTGCCGAAATACAGCAGTTAGTACAGCACTACAATAAGTAGAACAACATATGAGTAAGTAGAACAACACACCCGTAAGTTGAACAAAACTCCAGTAAATAGAACAAGTAAGTAGAACAACATACCAGTAGGTAGAACAACACACCAGTAAGTAGAACAACATACCAGTAAGTAGAACAACACACCTGTAAGTAGAACAAAACTCCAGTAAATAAAACAAGTAAGTAGAACAACATACCAGTAGGTAGAACAACACACCAGTAAGTAAAACAACATACCAGTAAGTAGAACAACACACCAGTAAGTAGAACAAAACTCCAGTAAATAGAACAAGTAAGTACAACAACACATAAGTAAGTACAACACACCAGTAAGAAGAACAACACACTTGTATTCATGTCAATTAATAAAATATGATCTTTTCATTACCGTACGAACCAACTAATTCATGTTTTGTCCACTGTCCAGAATGGAGCCTCCCTCGTTTTGTTGACCAACAACTACAACCCAAATGTGTGCTCACCAACCCTGGAAGTCCGGGTTGCCTACAGTAAGAATGATAATTTAACAACCTATCATTTTGGTGCATCCGAGACATCGGTTTCTTTAGTAAACGTCCTATCATTGTTATTGAAGATGGTCAACCTAATGCCTTTAACAACTTTCAGCCACCGGTCAGTACTCTGTCTTCGTGACGGCAGTGGGAGCTACAGCCACAAGCGCCACCACGCAGGTCAGGATATCAGGGAATACAATGGGAACCATTAGCATGTCGGTAAGTGCAGGCGTTAGACAGCTTGAGGTTTAACACAGGGGCCTAAACTACGGGTGGAAGCCATGTAACTGTAACAGGACACATAACGAAACAACAGCAAAGACAATGATTTAAGAGATATTAAGTAATACACACAGAAAACGTTAAGTAGAGGCGACAGCATTGTGACTGTCCAGCCAAACATGTCCTAGTTAGACAAAGGTGACAGCATAATGACTGCCCAGTCAAACATGTCCTAATTAGACAGAGGCGACAGCATAATGACTGCCCAGCCAAACATGTCCTAATTAGACAGAGGCGACAGCATAATGACTGCCCAGCCAAACATGTCCTAATTATACAGAGCTGACAGCATTATGACTGCCCAGCCAAACATGTCCTAATTAGACAGAGGCGACAGCATAATGACTGCCCAGCCAAACATGTCCTAATTAGACAGAGGCGATAGCATTATGACTGCCCAGCCAATTCTGTCCTAATTAGACAGAGGCGACAGCATTATATTGTCTTATCACCTCCATTGAAGTGCATAGTCTTAGCTGCAAGTACACACTTCAAATCCATTAGACGCATATTTGATTATTTCGCTCTCGTCTTGTATGAAAATTCACGAAGATTAAAATCACATGTGTTTTCTGCATCCACTTTCATAAGGCAGCCTCAGAATTGAGCCACTATTAGGTCAGTGCAGCCTTGACCTCGGCTGTTGTACAGTTGAATACAACAATTACCACAATGAGTTAGAAGACCTCTAACCCTTTTTCAGTGTATAGTAAATCTATGTCATGAAAGAAGGCCATGCATTGACTCCAGGTCATCACAAATCTAGAAATGTTTCAATTTGGTTCGATGGCAATATCCTGCTCTCCGTTCCCAGACAGGTAACTACTTGGAAGCCCTGGTCACCTTCAACGGCACTCTCTCTGGTCAGCTGATTGACAGGGGATCTACTGGATTCGTCAACACGGGGAACTTCGTTAATCTGCTACCCTCAGCATACCTGGGAGGTGAGTGTGCCTGAAAATATTCTGCCCCCCCCCCAATAAAAGCAGTTAGCGAGGTATGGCAGGTAGATGGTAGAGAGTGAGGGTCAACTCACTCATGCACATCATAGTCTAACACAACCCCGCACAACTCCTGATGTAAGGCGGGCCGTAATACTTTATGAAAAACTTGTGCGGGCCGTAATATTTTATGAAAGGCTTGTGCGGGCCGAAAGATGATAGGACAGGGTGGAAAGCTATTAAGAAAATAATAATAATAATAAAGAATATTTTGTTATTTCGCTGGCCGCCAAGTGGGTGCTGGTGGGCCACTTGCAGCTCGCGGGCCGTATGTTGTGCAGGCCTGGTCTAGCAATCAGTTGTGAATAGGTAACTGTAGATCTTTTTGACACATGTGTCGTTACTGTGTAGTTACTAAAGCAGCGTCTTGTGAAAATTAGCTTCAAACTAATGTTGATCGTTACGGGTGTAGCATATTATTATAAAGATCGTGTTTTGAGCTAAATTAGTATTTTACCCAAGTCTTACAAACACAGTGCTTCTAAAACTGGTGTAGCTAGTACCGGAAACCATAGCCGAATTCCCCAGTCACGTGATTCTATTAGATTGTAAAAGTTGAAGAAGATTTTAAAATGATCTCAAAATCAATAAATCGGGCTTTGGTTCCTGTCACATTGGGGATAACTTTCTGTCTGTCCGTTACATGTCAAAGTTTGGGAACCACTATCCAAAAAAATATGATTTGGTCCCCATGTTCACCTGGTGTCCACCTGAATCGTGTTCATTGCATATTTGTTACATACGCCATTAAAAATAAATGTTTATTTCAGAATCCCTGGCCGCCAACAAATGTGGCTTCCTGGTGGGGCGAGGTCTGACCGGGGCCATAGAGAGGGTAAGTCTTGAGAACCTCCAGAGTCATCATCTTGACTTAAATGTTAATTACCATTGTTGCAACTAGTTATTACCATTGTTGTACCTAGTTATTGCCATTGTTGTACCTAGTTATTACCATTGTTGTACTTAGTTATTTAAGGAACACAATTCAAGACGAATTCTTTTGTAAAGCAAACAACATAATTAACAACATTCATAATTGTTTAGGCTTAGATATCCACGGTGGAAAATTGATATTAATTTAAGATCTTTTGTTGTTGTTTGGTGGGGGTGGGGTATGGGTGGTCAAATGTTGTTACATATTGTGATGAGAGGTGAAAAGAGGGGGGGGGGGGTAGAGTTGTAAGGGGAAGTAATGAATAAATTTAAGAAAACGAAAACACGCCGCTCTTCTTGAATGGGGTTATGGGACTTACATTTGAACAAATCTATTGATATTAATTTAAGATCTTTTGTTGTTGTTTGGTGGGGGTGGGGTATGGGTGGTCAAATGTTGTTACATATTGTGATGAGAGGTGAAAAGAGGGGGGGGGGTGTAGAGTTGTAAGGGGAAGTAATGAATAAATTTAAGAAAACGAAAACACGCCGCTCTTCTTGAATGGGGTTATGGGACTTACATTTGAACAAATCATTGACATTGGTCAATGTTGACATGCATGAATGACGTAACAAATCAGGTGTAGGTGGCAAATTGTTAGCGAATTGTTCCATAATTCCATCAGTTCAATGCCATAACACTCTGTTGTCCACAGTTCCGTGTCTATGAGGGGTGTGGCGACTTTGCACGTCTCCGTGTATGAGCCAGATGACGCTGACACACTGGCACGCTGGCGCGCCGTCACAATGGCACGCCGTCACGATGGCACGCAGCTTTCGATTTGTCAACCAGACATCTTACAATAACAATCTCAGTAATAATAGTCCAACCCCACTGTTAAATTAATAAAATAATGTCAATATTTCTCTTATGATGTACCTCTCATCGTGTTCACGTTGTGCGTCACTTCCCGAGTTATGTTTTGTTTTTGGCCAAGTGGCATCACTGTTGACCTTATATTTAGACTCACCACTTGGTAACACACGCATTGATCCATACTCTACAAAATATAAAGTAAAGTCCAATAGACTGATTAAAAAGTCAAAATGATGTTTTTTTAAATTTCAAGTAGACCTCAGCGATGATATCTCGCTACAAATGAAGTCTTCATTCTTACATTGGTGAGAGAGTCGCAGCAAATTTGGACATGAAATGCATTTGGTGGAGCATTGACTTGATTTTAAGACATGGTTTAAGGCTCTCGAAATAGGATCCGCCCTTTCTTAACTCTCTTGGTTGCCTTGTGGAGTCGGCCCGTGTCTGTAAGCTCCTTACTGGTTGGTCGACTGGAAGAATGGCCATACGTGATAACATACACATTATACAATATGTCATCTGGCGGCATCACGACGGGGGAACTGTCTAGGCCATGACAAGCAATTAGTACAGTGTAGTTAGTTGGGTACTTCCCTTGATACAATTACTACAGTGTACATAGTTGGGTACTTACCTTGATGCAATTAGTACAGTGTACTTAGTTGGGTACTTACCATGATACAATTAGTACAGTGTTGTTAGATGGGTACTTACCTTGATACAATTATTACAGTGTAGTTAGTTGGGTACCTACCTTGATACAATTAGTACAGTGTAGTTAGTTGGGTACTTCCCTTGATACAATTACTACAGTGTACATAGTTGGGTACTTACCTTGATGCAATTAGTACAGTGTACTTAGTTGGGTACTTACCTTGATACAATTAGTACAGTGTAGTTAGTTGGGTACTTACCTTGATACTATTAGTACAGTGTAATTATTTGGTACCTTAATACAATTAGTACAGTGTAATTATTTGGATACCTACCTTGATACAATTAGTACAGTGTAATTATTTATTTATTTAGGCATTTTTATATAGCGCTTATCATAAAGCTCTAAGCGCTTTACAATTATTAAAACATGTAAACTAAGTAAATACAAATGAGACACTAGGATAGTAACTACTATTCTATAGAAACAATGAAAATGGCTATAAAAAGAGGACACTTTGACACTTCAGGATTAAACCGAAACAGAATATTAGGTAGGGCAAGGAGGGTGCATCACAGGTCATAGGCGGACCTAAACAGATGAGTTTTAAGGGACTTTTTGAAAATGGACGAGGTTTCACTATGACGTATATGGAAGGGGAGCTGGTTCCAGACCGTGGGCCCATGGAAGCAGAAGGAGCGTTCACCGATTTGGGTACCTACCTTGATACACTTAGTACAGTGTAATTATTTGGGTACCTACCTTGATACAATTAGTACAGTGTAATTGGTTTGATACTTACCTTAATACGATTAGTAGAGTGTAATTAGTTGGGTACTTACCAATATAAAGTAGTACAGTGTAATTAGTTGGGAACTTACCTTGGTAAAATTAATCAGTATTTCAACAGCTCATGGCAAATATACATGGCCTATATTAGCCGTTCTCAACTTTTAAGAACTCAAAGACCATTATCTACTTAGATTTTAACTGTTGAAATTAATTTCTGACGTGAAAGCTTCATAGATATTATTATTACACTTACAGGTCAAATATTATCAATAAATAAAAAAATTGAGTTAAATTTTATAATGTAAAATTTAAAGTTCAAAAATGACATTTATTTTTATTTGATTATTATATTCCTTAATTTTTAACAAGTTGAAGTTGCCAGGTAGGAAACAAAATTCCAAGTCTTTATTGACAAGCGAGCAGCAAGAAACACACGAATCCTTTAATTAGACTAGAGGGGATGAATTCTTTGAATGAGGACAATAAGTCAAAATGCATTGTGACGCTCATTATGTTTCCTGCTCTTCTATGAAAAATAAACTCTAGAAGCCTGGCATAAGACAAGTAACTTAAGAGTGGGTTAGAAGCCTGGCATAAGACAAGTAACTTAAGAGTGGGTTAATACAAACTAATTAAAAGAAATGAAACCCTGACTGAATTTTTGTTCGCAAGCAAATAACTCGAACGATAGCAACCCAGTAAATCAATAACAAGAGCCATAGCAACCCCGCACACCATAACTGGAACTATAGCAACCTAGTAAACAAATAACTCGAACCATAGCATCCTAGTAATCAAAGACCTAGAGCCATAGCAACCTAGAAAACAAAGAACGAGAGCCATAGCAACCTAGAAAACAAAGAACGAGAGCTATAGCAACCATGCAAACCAATAGCCCAAACCATAACAACCCAGTAAAATTTACCAAAATTGCAACTTTTTGTTTTAATTACATGAAGAGAGATGTGGTCAATTATTTTCTAAACCTTAAATTTACTGTTGTTGGATTAGAAGCGATAGCTTTTATGTTTACAACTTTTACTCCCTTTTTCTCGATTCGAAAATGTAACATAATTATATATTTGTTATCGACAAGTCTACCACGACTTGGTAAAATAAAGGCCAATTAAACAGAATTATTTGTGCACACTATTTCAACTCTGCAACATTCAGTGAAACGGAAGTAGAATCAGCTAAATGTCAGACCCTTAATTTTAAATGTACACGTTCAACACATGGAGTCGATGAGAAATGATTTTAGGAGAATAGAAGACATCGCATTTCAACTCCATCCGTCTCCTCAGCATTTAAACACAGTGGCGTATCATGACGTCATTACAATGGACGACACTGTATCGTGAATCGAAGTGCTCGTCTACTTTATCAACGTGATTCCTTGCTCAGAGAAAGCGATGCCTACTTTATCAACGTGATTCCTTGCTCAGAGAAAGCGATGCCTACTTTATCAACGTGATTCCTTGCTCAGAGAAAGCGATGTCTACTTTATCAACGTGATTCCTTGCTCAGAGAAAGCGATGTCTACTTTATCAACGTGATTCCTTGCTCAGAGAAAGCGATGTCTACTTTATCAACGTGATTCCTTGCTCAGAGAAAGCGATGTCTACTTTATCAACGTGATTCCTTGCTCAGAGAAAGCGATGTTGATGTAGAACTTCAAGTAACACAGCAGACGTCAATTTTCTTACACGTTTTAGGGAAAATACATGTACTGAGAGCAACAATTACGCTACGAACCCAAAAATGTGCACATTCATATTTTCTTTCTTTAAAAAAAAGAAATAAATATCAGATGATGATGGTTCATGTCGGCTGTACAAGGATAAATACCTTTGTAATTGAATCAACCAGTCTATGGAGCCTTACATTATTACGTCTATGGAACTCAACATTATTAGGTTATGGAGCTGTACATTATTAGGTTATGGAGCTCTACATTTTTAGGTCTATGGAGCTCTACATTAGTAGGTCTATGGTGCCTTACATTACTAGGTCTATTGAACTCTACATTATTAGGTCTTTGGAGCTCTACATTATTAGGTTATGGAGCTCTACAATTGTAGGTCTATGGCTCCTTACATTATTAGGTCCATGGAGCTCTACATTAGTAGGTCTATGGCGCCTTGCATTATTAGGTCTATGGCGCCTTACATTATTAGGTCTGTGGAACTCTACATTGTTAGGTCTATGGAGCTCTACATTATTAGGTCTATGGAACTTTACAATAGTAGGTCTATGGCCCCTTACATTATTAGGTACATGGAGCTGCACATTAGTAGGTCTATGGCGCCTTACATTATTAGGTCTACGGAACCCTACATTATTAGGTCTATGGCGCCTTACATTATTATGCGACAACTAAATATCAAACAATTTTTTTGTTCGCTTTATTATTATTTTTTTCAAAAGTCACACACAAAAAAACAACGATCTCTCATAATTCTCAGCCATTCCCCCATAAATAGGACAATAAAACAGTCAGGCTAGAGATTATTAATTATCCGATACTCTCTAACCGCTCACTCCCTAATTGACGCCATCATTTACCAGGAGGATTTAAGCCCGTCAGAACAAGTCCGTGGCGCACTGGGGAGCACATCTAGACGAGATTTAGCTCTGCTCCCTGGGGGTGTATTTGTTTAAGGGGCGCCCACAGACTGTTGTCATGTGATGTTTGACTCCTATCATACCGCGTTCATCATAAAACCACCACTATTCTTTTTAGTAGGGTTGGTGTGTGGCAGGGGTTTGGCCTCACATCTCAGGGACGTAGCAAGCCAGATTTTTTGGCATTGGGTGTAAAAAAAAAACAAGAAAGAAAATATGGAAATGAATGTTGCTTTGATGACGTTGTGCATCCCTGGTAGGCTGTATTACTTGTAGGCTGTACCATTGGAAGGCTGTACAACAGGAAGGCTTTAACACTGTTAGGCTGCACCACTGGTAGACCGTACCACTTCTGGTAGTAGAACTGGTAGGCTGTACCACTGGCAAGCTGTAGCACTGTAATGTTGTACCATTGGTAGCTTGTACCACTGGTAGGTTGTACCACTGGTAGGTTGTATCAATGGTAGATTGCAGGACTGGTAGGCTGTAGACTGTAATGTTGTACCACTAGTAGGATGCAGCACTGTAATGTTGTACCACTGGTAGGTTGTAACACTGTAATGTTGTACCACTGGTAGCTTGTACCACTGGTAGGTTGTACCACTGGTAGGTTGCACTACTGGTAGGTTGTAGCACTGTAATTTTGTACCACTAGTAGCTGCAGCACTGTAATGTTGTACCACTGGTAGGTTGTAGCACTGGTAGGTTGCAGCAGTGGTAGGCTGTAGCACTGTAATGTTGTACCACTAGTAGGCTGCAGCACTGTAATGGTGTACCACTGGTCGGTTGTAGCACTGTAAGGTTGTACCACTGGTAGGTTGTAGCACTATAAGGTTGTACCACTGGTCGGCTGTAGTACTGTAAAGTTGTACCACTGGTCGGCTGTAGCACTGTAAGGCTTTAAAACTGGTAGGCTTATCTACTGGTAGGTTGTACCACAGATATATTGTACCACTGGTAGACTGTACCACTGTTAGGTTGT